CGCTGCTTGGCTGAGGAGGGGCAGGGAGGGAAGGGCTTGGGGACGGGATCACCCTGCTGCTTGTCCAGTGCTCCAGTTTACAGTGATTTGAATACCTTGGAGAAGAGCAGAGCGGGGTTTCTCCTGGCCTGCGCTCGCCCCAGGTGGCAGGTTCCTTGTCCGGAAAGCAACCGCCTTCATAGTAATAGGAATGTTTCCCACTCGTGTCACTGTTGTAGCTTCTGTGGGGGGTTGTTTTTTTCTTGATGGCATCCAGAGACGGGTTTGTACAGATCCCTCCCGAGCCGGCACAGAGCCAGCTGTGCCCTTCTCTGCTTGTTTCTGAAGTGCCCAGTTTACAGTAAAACAAAAAAGAAGAAGAAGAAGAAAAGGGCTCCGCTGGTAACAGTCTTGGGGTTGTTTTTTTCTTTTCTTATTTAATTTGCTTTAATAAATACATGGTACCTTTGTGGACTCTGGGTTCCTGGTGGTCCTTTGGTAAGTCCTTTGGCAAAGGTAAGTCCTTTGGCACTTACACAAACAGGTTTAAAACCAGCTGGGAGAGACTGAAGACAGAAGGGAGTTTTGTACTCCCTCAACCTCCATGCGTGTGTCCCCCCATCTCTGGAATTCAAATTGAAAACTGTGAAACAATGAGTTGAAATCCTAACTTCAAGTATATCACAGTTGCATTCGTTTTGGGCTAGCATTTACATATTGAAAAGTTTTTTGACCCTTCATTCATTTCCTTTGCACAGGACATGCCTGTTCTGAGGGGGGTTGCATAGCTGTTTATCCCTGACAGCTTGGACTGCTCTACCCTCTGCCAAGTCTCATCAACTGAATAGGAAAAGTTGTAGAGGACAAAGAGAGCAGGAAGGGTGATGGACCTAAGGACATGATGCAATTAGAACTTGGGACTAAATTGGAAGACAGTGCTGTTTTCTCTGCCTTCATAATAGTTTCTCAGTTTAGTGGAATTAGAATAATTCAGTAGAACTAAGGTTGGTTAGTTTCATTCCTGAGTGTCTTTGAGGTAAGTCCTCAAGAAAGAGTAGAGAAAAGAATAAGCGTCTGCCAGTGCCCCCATATGATCCACTATGGAAACATGTTACACAGCTAATGAAGGGAGAGAGCTAGTGATTTGCTAGTGGTCATCAGTGCTATAATTATTTTTAGAAAGAGAACTCTGATGAAAAAGGCATTGACTGAATCAATGCATTTGACAAGCGGACTGAGCTTGAAATATGTAACGTTCTTAGTGCCTCGTATGCGGCTGAGGAGCCTTCAGTTTTAGTCTGTTTTTAAGATTTCTTTTTAAATATGAACAATGTTTTGTATTACATAGCCTAAAAGAAAGCCCAAAATTTACCTCAGCTTTTAAATGCTAAAGACACACTAAAGAGCCAGCAAAGTGCCTTAGCTGGTTCTTGATGCATTCATCTGCCACCTTTGAGCAATGCAATTTCTCCAGTATAGGGAGTCTTACACCCTCTCTCAATCTCTGTGCATGTGTGTATCCCCATCCTTGGAATTCAAATTCAGAAGTGGAAACAATTAGCTTAAAACCTAACTTCAATATATCATAGTTGTATCTCTCTTAACATTTACACATTGAAAAGTTTTGATCCTCCATTCATTTCCTTTACACAGAGAAGGGGACATGTTTCTATGAGGGGGGTTGCATAGCTGTTTATCCCTGAGGGGCTGGACTAGTTATTAGTTATAAATCAACGGATCTGCATTTTCTCTAGAAGTGAAGCTAGCATAAACACTGTCAGTGACTACGGCAAAAGAACGAGTGTGAAAGGACTTCAGTAACCTGTCTGAAAGCCAGTGGTCTTTGTGACGTACAAAAGTCTTGAAGACCAAGACTTTGTTAACTGCTCTTATTTTTACATACTAAAAGGACTCATACAGGTGGACAGATTTCAGTCTTTCTTAGAAGATGTGGAAGTCTTAAATGTTGCTTGATCTAGCCAATGCTCATTAGAAAGACAGCCAACCTCACCAAATCACTTGTCTAAGTAAATTAGGACTTATTATTATCTGTTTCAATGGATCAAGATGACTTTTATCTAAGCTAAAATACACCAATCAAGTTAAAAGAAGATTAAATGAGCAGGGACCTGGAAATCTGGTCTTGACTATGAGTAATCTACTGGTAAATAATGAGGCAAAGCAGAATTTCCCAGTTTAACACAAACTACTGAGACAAGCAAAAAAAACAACCTCCCTGCAGCTCAATTCAGTTATTTGCTGCTGTGTTTAAAGGACAAGAAACAGATCTGCCTGCTTCCTCTAAAATAACTGTGTGGTACAATTTGTTACTAAATCAAAGTCATGTTACTGAGACATCTTTCAAACGAGACACTGCTGAGACCTTTCACCAAAACTCAATATTTTCTTTATTACACCTTTTTGTAGCTGAGAATGTAACTTGCTGAAAAAGTGGTAACTCAGAATGTGGGAAGCTAAGTCTTTTGGAAACAAGATCAAACTCTGGAGTCATAAGTTATTTGGAAACATCACATACAGATAATTGTGCCAATGATTTGACTGCCAAAAGGTTTTTTTTTTAAGTTTTGTCTTGTTAAACTGCCCTATGAGATATAGCAAACAATAAAAGCATACTGTACTATGGACTAGTTGCTGCCAGAAGCCACAGGATTCTCCAATCCTGTAAATTTAACTGATGACACACCTGTATGTTTGTAATAAAATAAAATGTCAGTAGTGGGTGATTCAAAGGTCAGTTGGACAGCATGCTTAAGATGCTGTCTCCAGCCTAACCAAAGGACCCCTTATAAGGACAAAGCCCCAACCTGGCAAAACACTTGTGATTCATAAATGCCTCTTTTTTAAAGCCCTTTATAAAGATGGCTCATTCTGATTAGAAAATTGTGTTTAAGAGAAATTTTGACCACATAATGGAAAGGTACTTGTACATTCTTCCCTTGTATTAATCTCAACTGACACCAGTCCTCTGTCTGGTGTGGGAGGAGGAGCCCCAGAGAAGTGGCCTGGGTATGGTGATACTTGAGAAGTATAGAAATTACTAGAATATTTCTGGAAATTATAATATGCATGGGCCAAATAAACAGAAGGAAACAACAAGAAAAAGCAATCTGTTGTGTCTCTGTTCAGAATACAGTCAGTTGTCCCTCAAACTAATCTATTCCAAAATTCTGACTGCTACTGTCAGTCCCACTTTCCTACAAAGGAGGAAAACATTTAGGCTCCTACCTAGCTTTAACAACTGTCCTTACTTCCTAATTTATACCTAGGCAGACAAGGTTCCTTGGGTGAATTTGATATCTTTTATTAGACCAACCCAAATGGTTGGAGAATAGTTATTAAGCAAGCTTTCGGGTTCAAAAACCCTTCGTCAGGTTTTTGAACCCGAAAGCTTGCTTAACGAGAGGCCAAAGAATTTACATGCACAAGGCAAGTAGAATACCTCCAAATGCTGACGTATATACATCCATATGCATATGTGCTTAAACCTTTGTTTAAAACAGGGTTAAAGTAGTCCAAAAGACATCTGTAACTTTAAACTTTTCATATAGCCAACAGAATTCACACACTGAACAGCAACAATATTTCTGAATTTTGATTTTTAACTTACAAGTTAATTATACTGTTGTGCCTAACAAGACTGTAGCAGAGAGCTGAGTGATCCATTATCAACACCTCAACAACAGAACAATTCCGTGAAGAGTTAAACTGGTAGGGCTCTAAGCTGATGGAGCTTTCAGGATGAAACAGATTTTTCTTGCCCTTTTTTCTTTATATTTGCTTCAACTATGTGAGACATGATAATGCAGAACATAGATTCCCAGTGTTAGTAAAAATCCCCCATTTCTGTGATAAAATCCACAGTCTTTAAAAACACTCTATAAAATCCAATATGCTCCCATCTCCTTGCCAAATAATGGCTCACTTGTCTCTTGTATCTCACTTAGTATTTTGCATCTTTCCTCGCAGCTCGCTGTGGAACATAGGCTTTGAAACATTAGTTAGTAATTACAGATTTCATCCTTTCT